ACACCAAGTTTGCATCTCCAGTTCAGCTATAAGTTGTTTGGTTAAAGTTGTAAAAATGTCAGCCATTTTATAAATAGCCTCCATCACTTGTGTGTTTTATGACTAAAATTCATCAGATGTGCACGTTGTACATGTATTAAGTACTGTGTGTCCCTAGAGCTCAATTAGAAATAATTTAGTTGTGTCTGTAAGATTTTGTCAGCCATTTGGAAAGAATTACTCATATTTGCAGTTCTGTTCATATGTGGTGACGGAACTGTTCCTAAACTGAATTCATGTTTTAAAAGATGTGTAGACCAAATTTGGTGCATCGATCTTAAAGTGAACATTTTTTTCAGTTTAGAGTCTTTACTACTTGTCTGGGCCACAATTCTGATAGTGAAAAGTCAAAGATATAACCTGGCACGAATGTGATATGGTAATAAAATCAAAATGTTAACATGGAGTTATTTAGCACAGATACATCCTGGTGTAGTCTGAGAAGTGTGTACCTTTGTGGTGGACAGGTAAAACATAGTAAGGATTAAAGCAGAAACTTGAGGTCAGTGCTTTGGGAAGGCCATTCCAAAAGCCTAAAGTTACCGTGATTTATCCAATCCAAAACCAGTTCCAGTGTGTTTAAAATCAGCGTCCTATTGAGACACCCAGTTTTGTCTGCTTTACTCATCCAGCCCTGATCTGAGGCGAAGTCAAACAATTTGTAAGCAGACCTCATTTTTCATGATGAAATTCACTTTGTGCACCAGCCCCAAGTCATCATTCCACCAAAGAACAAGAACAGTTTATGTAAATAATTCATAATGACATTGATTCGACATGCATGCCCTTTATGAGTGAATAGTAACTTCTGTTCACGAGTGTATCTTTATCTGTCTCAGTTTGGATTGTAGTCTGTGTTCTGGCACCTCTTCATGACAAGGTTTCTGCAGTCAACAGAGATGTTTTACTGCCTGGGGGTTCTTCTCTACACAGGCTGTCTTTACACCTCATAGTCAAACTTTTCAGGCTATTTTCTTTGTTTTTGTGGTTTTAGTATTTGAATCATGTCTTTTTTCCCAACTTTTTGATTTGCCCTAGAAAGTCAAGTTTTGATTCTTCACTTAGTTGCACACCGATGTGCTGTTTGGCACAATGTTCACGTTCCAGTGCTTGACCCCTGTCTGGTAAATGAACTTTGCTTTTGGACTTCTATCGCCACGAGTCCTTCAGTACAGCGTCACAGGATGTCCCTTAGTGCAGTGTATAAATTCAACAGATCATACACAGGTGGCATGCATTTACTTTGTATGATCACATTCCATATTGACCTTATTATTATCAGAGTCAGAGATTCTTTATTGTCATTCGCACCTCATGTGGTACAT